TTAAATACCCAGAAAAGTTGAAAGTAAAGGAATGGAAAAAAATACTGCATGTTAATGGCAAGTGAAAGAGATTAGGGGTAGTTGTATTTAGGTAAAATAGAACACATGCTACAAAACTGGAACAAGACATAAAGAACATCATTATGCCTCAGTTAAAGAGTCAGTCATCAAGAGAATGTGTCGATTATAAACGTGCATACATCTAGTCCCAAATACCTAAATATGTAAAGCAACCATGGGCAAAGATGGAGGGAGGCATAGAACCTATTGCTAATAATAGCTGACTACAATACCCCACTTTCAACATCTACACAGAAAATTACTGTGAAAACACCAGGCTGGAAGCACGCAGTAGTTCAAATATACCTACAAGTATAGATCCATCCCACAGCAGCAGACACATTACTGCAAACTCAGTGCATCCTCCAGGAGAGAGATTGGGATCACATTCCTGGTACTTTGCAGAAGCAGTGGTGTTAAACTAGAAATCAGCAATAGTAGCAAACTTGGAAATTCACAACTACATGGAAACTAACCAGCACACTCTTGTACAACCCAATTGGACCAAAAGAGAAATCTAAAGAAAATTTCAAAAATGCCTCAAGACAAAAATGAAAACACAATATATTGAAACCTTCAGGATGCAACAAAAAGTTATAATGGAGCTTTATAAAAATAAATGCTTATATTAAGAAAAAAATCCTAGAGTCTCAAACAATCTAGCTTTGTGCCACAAGGGTCTAAAAAAGCAAAATCACTTCAAGCTGTAAGCTAGTGTACAGAAGAAAATAACAACCTGAAATAAGGAAAAGAAAAATGATAGGAAAACATCAACTAAATTAAGGGCTGATTTTGAAAAGGGAAATGAAATAGAAAAATCTTCGGCTATACTAAGACAAAAGAGAAGACAAGGAGCTGGGAAGATAGCTCAGTGGTAGAGCGCTTGCCTTGCATGCATGAGGCCCTGGGGTCGATTCCTCAGCACCACATAAGCAGAAGAAGAAAAAAAGCCAGAAGTGGCGCTGGGGCTCAAGTGGTAGAGCTGAGGGACAGCGCCCAGGCCCAGAGTTCAGGTCCCACGACCGGACCCTCCCCCCCCCGAAAAAAAAAGAGAGAGAGAGAAGACAAATACAATTGGAATCAAGATATTGCTATCCCCACTCTTAGATATGCTTTAATGTTTGACTCTTTTTGTCTTTTCTATCACAGGTACTCATAGAATAGCTACAAAGGTTATACTAATGCCTCATAACAACTGAAGATCTTATATGTGCATTCTTACTTACATGTAAAGAAACAGGTTAAGAGGCCAAATGCCCTCTCAGTGCAGATGCAGCAGGCGAGTGGAGAATCCAGGTCCCACACAGGTCCTTATACCACACACCCTGCAGGGACAAGCAACTGAGAAAAAATGTCTATTGAACTGATAAAAGTCTATTGAACAGAAAGAATGCTCTATAACATTAGTGTGCATTAGAACAAATGAAAATAATAAAGTCACTTATTGTTTTTTTAAATAACTGGAAATAAAGAGATACTATAACTAACACCACAGAAATACAATGGATCATTTCCAGAAGAATATACCTACAAAGATTGAATCATGAGGAGGAAGAAAATCACAGAACAATAATAAGGAGCTTGAGAGTAAAGAACCAGATGGCTTCATAATTGAATTCTACAAAAATTTAAAAAATAAGCATTAATTATTCTGCTAAGGAAGTCAGAATCAAAACAGTCACTTCTGTCCAGCTCTGGCCCAGAAAATGAATGAATCAGATATGTTATGAAGGAGGGAATAGCACGAGCATGAGCCGACACTGGGAAGAGCGTCACGTGTAGAGACCACTGCCACCTTACACAGAAAACACTTCCATTCCCCCTTTGACCAGCACCACCCTGGCTATTAATCCTTAGAGCCGAAGCTATTGCTCTGAAATATCTTACTTAAACATTTGTCACATTTGAAAACCTCAGCCTCCATGAACACTCAGTTTCCTGTGCAAAAATATTCCAGTTGCAACAACAGCAAAACATATTATTTTCTGGAGAATCTTCTTTGATTATTATTTAGGGTGACCCTTCTAAAACTCCTCCGAGAAGGTAAAGAGGCCAGTGTTTTACTTCTGTACTCCTGGCAACTCTGGAGGCTGACATCTGGGGGACTATAGTTCAAATCCAGCCCAGGCAGGCACATCTCCTAGAGTCCATCTCCAATCAACCAGCAATGAGACAGGTTGCAAGCCTGGAACAAGTGCTAGGCCAGCTGTAAACAACCAAGCTGAGTGAGCTGAGGCCTTGAGTTCAAGCCCCTGTATTTTATTTTATTATTTGGGTTTTTTTGGTCAGTTGTGGGGCTTGAACTCTGGGCTTGGACCCTGTCCCTGCGCTCTTCAGCTCAAGGCGAACACTCGACCACTTGAGCCACAGCCCTACTTCTGGTTTTCTAGTGGTTTATTGGGGATAAGAGTCTTACACACTTTCCTGCCTGGGCTGGCTTTGAACCGCAATCCTCAGATCTCAGCCTCCTGAGTAGCTAGGATTACAGGCATGAGCCACCAGCACCCAGCCCATATTTTATTTTATAAGACCTCAATTATCCAGAAAACAAAATTGTATATGAAGACTATAGGACAAGGTAAATATAGGCCAATGTCTCTGAAGAGGGATGTAAAAATAGTTAAAATGCAAGCAAGCCTAATTCAACAGTACACTGAAAGAATCACACACTACACAGGGGGCTTTACCCCTGGAATTCAAGGATGGCTTGGCATAGTCATATCAATAACTGTGATGCACCACATCACTAAGAGGTACAGATGTGTTCATTATAACCAGACACCATTTGCCTATGGGTACCAATGTAAGGATGGAGAATAACCCTTGGTGGAGGAAACAGAGTCCACATTGCCCCATGTATGTGGAGAAAATACACTGTGCTTCTGAGAAGAGTAGAAAGGTTCATCAAAATGAGGTTTCCTGACTGTTAATACTCTCTGGTGCATCTCGGGACTCTAACCTGCAGGGCTGCCAGCAGAATCACACCATTCTTGTGTGTGTCCCAGCTCAGTACAAGAAAGAAGCCTGGACTGCCAGGTGAAGGGCGGAGACATTGTGGGCATTTCAGCCACAAAGGACTCAGTGGAGCTGGACATGGAGACACAAGACTGCATTCAAAGCCCCCAGGGGTCTGAGGCAGGACTGGTGAGTTCAAGGTCAGCCTCGGGTGCATAGTGAGACTGTCTCAAGGAAAGCAAGGTAATTAATGATGTATTGGGGCATCCAGAACAAGGGTCTGCAGCCTCGGTGACCTGTGGGCAGTGATCGTGGTAAGGGATCCCCCGACCTCACACCAACCAGGCCAGGTGGACCAGGAGGTCACTCCGGCCCCCACCTCTAGAGCAGGGGACTGCTCTAATGAGCAGCACTGGCTGGGTCTCCTGTGGGATGCAGCCTTCCTGTCTGAGCGCTGGGAGGGAATGGCGGCGAGGAGATTGGCCACAGCACCACAGCTTCCAGAGCCAAAGAGGAAAACGTCCCAGTGGATGCAGAGGCCGGGAGCCTTCCTAATTGGCCATTGGAGGCCAGGAGTCCCAGCTGTCAGGTGCAGAGAATTCTCCTAAGCAGAGTGACCCTAACTACAGGAAATCCACATGCTGCCTGCTTGACAGAACAGAAGAGGAGAGACGAGAGACACACCTTCTCTTGACAAACACTCAGGGTCCGCTGACCGCCGGCCCACTCAGATGCTCACCGAGAGCCTGGTCTGCCCGCCCTCCTCACACCACCACGCGGGAGCCAGAGAGGGCCTGCAGGGGGGACAGGAGTCCTCACACCCGCCTCAGTGTCCAGCGCACCTCAGGCTCGGCTGCACGAGGACGGGGACATCAAGCGCTGGCTGCGTGGCCGTGGGCCAGTCCTGACCATCGCCTGGCTGCTGTGGGCCAGTCCTGACCATCGCCTGATGAAGCTGAGGTTAGTATGTTTCCTTCAAGGGTGTCAGAATAGAAGACCGAGTGCCCAGGGGCGTCAGGGCTGCATGTTCAGAGCAGACTCCACTGTTGCAGCCAGGCTCCCCGCACTGGGCTCCTGCCTCCTCATGGCCAGGCCGGCAGGGGCAGCCCGGGGCAGACATTGCTATGTGTTCTGGCAGTGAAAAAGACAGGGAAGGGAGAGGCTCTGGAACGGGGGGGGCGGGTGCACAGGACAGCCACCGAGGCCGGTTTTTAAATGGGAAATAAAAATTTTAAATCCCCAAACGTTTCGCAGAACAGGAGCAGAGATGGCGGGGACAGTGTGCTCCGTCTGCTGAACCTCAGCCTGGGTCTGGACTGTTGCTTTCCTGAAATCTGTCCAGCTAGTGGACACTGGCAAGAAGCCCTGTCATCTACGCGGAAGCAGGGAGCGTGGCTGGTTGGAGATCTCTGTGGTCAGATCCAGTGGGAGGAGCCGGCTGGGGCCTCCCACTGCAGGGAAGGAAGGAGGTGCGGGCTCGGTGGGGAGGCCTCGTGCCTGCTCCATGTCCAGCCTGCATGTGGTGTCCTTGCCGGTCCCAGGACCTGGCGGCCAGGGTGTCCTCCCGCCATTTCATAAGTCTGTGAGTAGAGCTGGCTTGGGAAGGACAGGAGAGGACACCGGAGACAGAGGGATCCAGAGCACCAACCGGAAGTCAGGGGACGGGAGAACAGGGTCTTAGAGGAGGCATGGAGACCTCATGTGCTGTCCACAGTCACTCAGCACTGGACGCCTCATTGCGTTCCAGAACATAGCTCAGTTCCCCTCACAGGACAACTCGGCACACGCTCGTGAATTAGGTAACTGCAGGAAGTGGCCCCTAAGACCACAGAGAGCTCATCTGGATGGACGACCAGCAGCCTGGGGCCCTGCGGGCAGCGAGCAGTATGTGAGCAGGGCCCTCCATGCCAGGGCCCTGTGCCCTCGAGACCGTGACCTGCTCCATCTACCTCCACCGTCCTCTCCAGCCGTCCCTGCCCAGCGCCATGGCAGCCCACGGGAATGGAAACCTCTCCGCAGCGCCCGTGTGGGCCTTCGTGCTGGAGGGCTTCCGGGGCGGGCTGGAGACCCAGGCCCTGCTCTTCGCCGTCTTCCTGGCCCTGTACCTGGTGACCGTGCTGGGCAACCTCACCATGATTGTGCTCATCACCCTGGACGCCCGCCTGCACTCCCCCATGTACTTCTTCCTCAAGAACCTGTCCTTCCTCGACCTCTGCTACTCCTCCGCCATCGCCCCCAACGCCATCGCCAACTTCTTCTCCTCCTCCAAGGCCATCAGCTTCGCCGGCTGCGCCACGCAGTTGTTTTTCTTCTCTTTACTTGGAACCACTGAGGCTTTACTGCTGGCTGTGATGGCCTATGACCGCTTCATGGCCATCTGCAGCCCCCTGCGGTACCCTGTGGCCATGGGCCCAGCCACCTGTGCCCGCCTGGTGCTGGGTGCCTATTTTGGAGGCTGCCTCAACTCCATGGTAGAGACCAGCCTCACCTTCCACCTGCCCTTCTGCAGGTCCAACCACATCGACCACTTCTTCTGCGATGTGCCACCCCTGCTCAGGCTTGCGTGTGCCAGCACGACGCTCAATGAGCTGGTCATGTTTGCCATCTGTGGCTTCATCCTCCTGGGAGCAACTTTAGTGATCCTGGTCTCCTATGGCTACATCACAGTGACCATCCTCAGGATGCGCTCTGGCTCTGGGAGGTACAAGGCCTTCTCTACCTGCGGCTCCCACCTGGCAGCTGTGTCTCTGTTTTATGGAACTGGCTTTGCCACGTATGGCCAGCCAGGCGCCGTGCGGTCCACAGAGCAGGGCAAGGTGGTCTCCACCTTCTACACCCTCATCATCCCCATGCTCAACCCCCTGATCTACAGTCTGCGGAATCGGGATGTGAAGGACGCTCTGAAGAGGCAGGGACGCAGACACACAGCCGCGTGACAGAGGCTGACCCGCAAAAGATGGCATCCTGAATATGGAGCCAAGGACTGCAACAGAGACAGTGTTTATTCTTAAGGCCATAGTCGCTGCATCTTTCCTCCCTGATTGCTTTCTCATCAATTGCCATCTTGCCTTCTTGCATCGTTTCTGACTCTCTTGTCTTCGTCCATCCAATCACCCATCCTTGGCTACATCTATTTGGTACTTTATGCAAGCATGCCAGGGGAAGGGAAGGAAGGCATTTACTTAATGTGAACAACGATTGGTTTTTGTTTTTGTTTTTGTTTTTTGGCACCAGAAAACTAATGGTGTCAAGAAAGAGTTAATTCAAATTTCTTCACTCTGCAGAAAATTAAGTCTTTTCGAGTCAGTTTGGAACCAATGCCGTATCTCCCAGCAAGGGCCACGCATTAGCCTTGGCCATACCCCTTTCCTGCACTGCTGGGTGTAACGTCAACATGGTTGGGAAATTATCCCCTGAGCATAGTACAAAGGGGCCTGAGAGGCTGCGGTCACCGCCCATGCTTACAACGGCAGAGTCCTCTGGGTTGGTGCACCGCTTCCTCCTGTGTTCACTGCTTCCTTGGCTTCCCGCTGTCCGTGGTGCTGACTCCCTCCAGTGGGCAGCTCAGTGTGCTTGCTGTGGACTTCTGAGGCTCCTAGGCCAGGGATCTCTGTGCTCACGGAGGTGTGCAGAGATGCACCTGGCTTCTGTGAATGATCTCAGCCAAGATTTAAAACTTTCACTAGTGCTTTAAATCTCCCTCCCTCCCTCCCTCTCCCTCTCCCTCTCCCTCTCCCTCCCCCTCCCCCTCCCCCTCCCCCTCCCCCTCCCCCTCCCCCTCCCCCTCTCCCTCTCTCTCTCTCTCTCTCTCTCTCTCTCTCTGTGCACTTCTTCAACTACAGTTTTCTGTCATTCCATGGGTGGTTTGATAGAGGGGTATGTTACTGTTGACCCAAAGTCGTATACAAGATAAATTCCAAACTTTTATCATTAACTTAATTCTGTAGAATGAACAGTACAAACCAGAATCAGCTCGTCCTTCTCATGTTAAAGAATCAATCCTGATGTATCAGGAATCGATGGAACAGAAACTCTTCAATACTCTAGAAGAAAGGGCATTTAAAACCCAGCAAACCCCAAGACCCACACACCCACACCCCTCCTCCCCCGTGACCCACACTTCAGGCTCTTCAAAACCCCTACTCCTGGATGGGCCTGTGGGGCCGTGGCCTTGGTGAGCAAAGCCCTATGTCCCATCTCAAGGCTACACTAAAAAAATCTTTTCAGACAAAATCATATTCCCAACACTTTGGCATGTATGCCCAGGTGATCACATGAAAATGTTCACGGTGGCCACACTAAGTACCTACCGTCCCACCAACAGAGCCCTACGGCCACATGTCCCAGCGCCTCCCGACGCAGGCTATGCCGTCCTTGTCGTTGTATTTGTGATGGAGAGGAATGGATTCCCAGCGGGGTGGGAGCTGCATTCCCCTAAGGATTTCACAACCAATTCATGGTGTTGAACCTATTTCTCATGTTTGTTGACCAGTTGTGGATCACTCAGAGAAGTCTTTTATCAACTCCTTCACATGTATTTTTATTTGGGTTGTTGGTTTTGTCTGATTGTTTCCTTGCTTGCTCTTTGGTAAGAAATGCTGATATAATCTGCATAGTAACCCCATACCAAACATGTGAGGATTTCCTCCCCTCCACAGGATGAGCTGCATGGCTTATTTCTCCTTTCTTGTCCCATAGGTTTTGAGTCTAAGTTAACACTTTGAATTGTTTCTATTCATTTTTTATCTATGCTTTTTGATGTCCTATCCCCAAATTTTTGCCAAATGCTGTAATGAAGCTTTCCCCAAAGCTTTTCTCAGAAATTTCACAGTTGCAGGTTTAGTTAGCTTAAGAGTTCAAGTCAATTTGGAATAATTTTTTTTGCATAGTGTCCAAAAGTCCTAACCACATTTACTTGTACTCAGATTATTCAGTTTGCTCAGCACCACCTGTTGAAGAATTGCTCTTCCCCAGGTAGCCCCCTTGTCAAAATCCACCGACTCTACACAGAGAGATTTCTGCTCTCTCTCGGCACTGACTCTCTCTTTCATTGAACTACATGTCGCTCTTAATGCCAGTACCACAGTGCTTTGACTGCTATACCTTTCCAATGTGATCTAGAATCGTTACCTGTGAGACTTCCATTTTATTCTTCCTTTCTTCTTCCTTTTCAAGATTTGATGGCTGAGGTTCTTTGAAATGTAATATAAATTTTAGGGTAGAGCTTTCTTGTTTATTTGTTCTTACAAAAGGATATCATGAGATTGCATTGAGTCTGAGAGATATTCTGGCTAATATTGACTTCTGAAATGATACTAAGTCTTCTGATCCAAGAACACATACACACATATTTCAGTTATTTAGATCTTCCATTTCTCACAGAAATGTTTTGCAGCTCTTAGTGTGCAAGCACTTCTTCTTGCAGAACAAGAGTGTTATAAAGTGATTTATTCTTTTAAGTTGACTGGACTAGGAATTTATTTCCTAATAATTTTTGTGTTGTTCATTATTGATGTATAACAGTGTAATGGGTTTTTGTATGTTGTTGTACCTATTATTTGCTGAATGTGGATATTTGTGTTGCTAGTTTTTGTGGAATCTGCTACATGTAAGATCATTTCTGAAACAAAGGATAGTTGTGCTTCTTCCTTTCCATTTGGATGCATCAATCCCTTTGTCCAATTATTCTTGTTGGGACTTCTGGCACTAGTAAAATAGAAATGAAGCCTCACTGCCTTGTCTCTGATGTTGAGGAGAAGTGGTTAGTCCCTCCTTACACAGGTTTCTCCTGTGGTTTTTATTAGGTTGTAGTGACTTCCTTTTATTCATAGTATGTTGAATGTTCATTATTTCTGGTCCTGGGGTTTGAACACAAGGCCTCAGTGCTATCCCTGACATTTTGAGATCAAGGCTAGCACTCACCTCCTAAGCCACAGCTTCACTTCTTGCTTTTTGGTGGTTAATTGGAGATGAGAGTCTCATGGACTTCCCTGCCCAGGTTGGCTTTGAACTGCAACCATCAGGGTCAGCATCCTGAGTTGTAAGATTACAAGCATGAGCCACCAGAGCCTAGCTGTTGAATTTTGTGAAATGCTTTTATTAATGAAGATGATCAGTTTGTTTTCCTTTTCCTTGTGTGTTATACCACATTGCTTATTGTTGAAGCAACATAGTATTTTCATCAATCTTACCCAAATGCTGGTTCTACTCCACTAACCACAAACACAGTGTCTTCATACCCCTCACTTTTGTCTTATCCATTCCTGTGTCTGCTGATAGATGTAACGTAAACACACATGTCCATCACAGCATACTGTTCAAACCGTTTCCTCAAGGACAGAAGATATCTGGCTTCATAGACCATCTTTTGCAAAAGTTCACAACACAATACTAATACTATAGAATTAACACACCACCAGCCACGGAGAGGCAGAGCCTCAGCATCACCGTCATCTCTTGGTGGCTCCTCGCAGATCATGAGGTCTCCTGCGCCACATTTGTCTCCTGTAGCCCACATTCCGACACTGCCAATGAGACTGTGTAGAACAATCCTTCAGCCCACATTGCACACTTGTTGAGTGTGCCCTGTGTCGATGGGAACAAACTTGGCTGTGAGTGGCCTTGACCCCACAAAGAATGTACTTCTGTCATCAAAAGACTGGGTGGAGTTCTGAGGCCGATGGTGTGGGTATATTCAGGGGTAGGAGCTCCCTCTGCTGCTCTGGTAAGTCTACTCTCAGGACTGAGGTCTGCAGATATGGCCTCCACCTTCCTAGACTCAGGATGAGAGAAGGCAAAAGTGAAGATCTTGGCTTTACATACATTCATACACATATATCTATAGAAAACAATCCCAATAATGCCAATAATGCAGACTTCAGCCAATTCCTATCAAAGGAAAAAACTGACTAACCTGACTAAATTTCACAATCACCACCATAAAATTGCTCAAAACTAAAGTACATTTCACAATCAGTAAAATAATATTATTAAAATAGAACTCTGTGTATAAATCGACACAGTATTCTATGAATGCATTCATGTATTCTGTACACTGCAAGCTATACATGCAAGCATGTATTCTATGCATATATTCATGTGGTCTGTGCATGAGCTACAACATACAGGAATGAAACTGGTTTTTGTGTTGGCTTTATAATCTTGTATCTTGAGAACTTACTGATTTTGTAAAGTATCTGGGGGTACAGAGGGTTCTCTTTGTGGACAATCATCTTTCTGCACAGGGAGTTATTTTCTTTCTTTCTAAAATGTATGCTAAATTTATTTTCTTAATGTATTGCAATGGCTACAGATTCCAGTGCTGTCAAGATTGAGGAGAGCAGATTGTTTCTGGCTTTAGAGAGAAGATATTCAGTCTTCCTCATTAACTGTGATGCTGGTTGCATGTTTGGTGTAGGTGCTTTTTTTTTTTTTTTATCAGATCAGTAAAGTGTCTCCTCTGTGCCTGATTTGCCAAGATATTTTATTATGTAACAGAGAGTTGAGTTCGGGAAATAGCCCCATCTAATATTAATGATATGATTATTGACTTTTCAAGGTCCAATACATTGATTTTTCTGTGTTGAATTTTTCCTAGTAACCTTAGAATTAATTCCAGTTAGTCATAATGTATAATTATTTTTACATTGACGGATTTGATGTGCTGTTTCATGTATATATAAACATGTATATTATACACTATGTATTATATAATATGTATCATACATGTGTAATATATAGTGTGTATATACATAATTTTCTATGATTACTTTTCTGGTTTTGGTTAGAGCAATATTTACTTTGTAAAGTACAATGCAACAGTACTTATTCCTCTTTCATTTACAGGAATAATGGTGTCGAGAAAAGGCCATCTGAGGCACGAAGCAAGACAGCTCATCATGCTTGTTTGTGTGGACATGAGTGATGAAGCCAACTC